AACAAATAGACAAAAAAAACTATTCTGCTAATAGCATTTTGGATTAATTTAATACGCTCTTTTTAACCATACAAAAACATTGTCTAACTGGGCATCACGGCAACAGTTTCATGCTTACACAGCTTTGAAGATTATGGAAACTATGTTATTGATTGTTTTAAAGGCATATGCACCATAATTACACCTTGAAAACTAAACAAAGCTCCAAATGTACATTCGTAAGTGGGTCACAGGTCAGTATTGATTAAAAAAATGATAAATGCAGATAATAACAAGCAACTAAAGCTAATAATCATGGATAGCAAAGTAAAGAGTCATTTGTCGTTGAGGTCAAAGTTCATGTGTTCCGTCGAACTCAAAAACTCATCATTCACTTAGTAGAAGCTAGTTAAATTAGACAGATGGCAACATATAAAATTAAATGCTCTAAACCTCGATAAAAATGAAGAGAACATCACACGGTTAATTTGTGTGTGTATATTATGCACACACACACACACAAACAAGGATATATTACTAATTAGTTTGCATTGTGCCGTGAATTATTGATTGCAGAGAGAGACGTTTAGAAACCAATATTCAGTCCAGTTGTCCTTTTCAGCATTTTTACATGAATCGTTTTGCATATTGTTACAGTATATGCAGCTCAATATTAATATATTTAAATAATAAAAACCTAATTATTTTGAATTATATAAACTGTACAAAAAATATAGTCTTTTCTGAAGTGAAAACGGTTGAGAGACACTGGTTTAAATAATATGGTGTGAGAAAAAAGTGAGAGAAGAAACAGGAAGACCAGAGGAAAAGATATGAGCTGGAATTCTATTGTTCAAGGGGCTTCTCTCTCTCACTCTGAGCTTTGTGTTCAGCTGACAGCTTATTGGAAATACTAGAGAGCATGTCCATCACAGATATACAGTGTGTGTGTGTGTGTGAATCCTTTTAGTGATCCAGCCTTCAATTCATGCACTCCATACTGATTTTTCTTTCCTTCATAATGAACACTGTCACGTTCATCTCTACAGCCATATTTATGACTAAAGCATAGCATGAATATAAATATATAAATATATATATATATATATATCACAGATACTGAGCATCACTGATCCGTTTATGTCCAAACTACACATCTCCTATACGTTTGTGCACAAACTATTGTGTGTTATTGCACAGCTCTCACGAAAACATCATTCATATCCCTCACCCTCACTCCAGTCTCTTTCTTCTCTCATAATAAAATAATTTCAACTTAAATCAATATTTATTGTCCATTTATTAATTTATTTGTCACGATAATCAATATTGCAAAATAAACCCCTTCAGTATGATAAAGCTTGCAATATATATATTGAAAAAGCCCCTCACTTACATTTACATTCATGCATTTAGCAGACGCTTTTATCCAAAGCAGTTTTCAACAGAGGAAGCAATTTATTCTTGATGCATAGGATGTATTAAAAGCTCAAGAGAATGAAACAAAAATGACATTTATAAAAACATGTAGACCAACAATTAAAAAATAGTGCAAAATAAATGCAAGAACACATGCTGTGTGAACGCCCCCTTACTATATCAGTGTCAGTGCTGAGAAAACAAAACAAACAAACAAAAAAACTCACACATATTTCTGAATGCTAGCTTTTTTAATGCCTGAATGCACTATTATTCATTTTTAGTCTTATGCACTCACACATGCAGAAACATAGCCAATGAAAGAATGTGAAATATTATTCAACAAGATTGCTGCTTTTTCAAGAAGGGTCTGGCTGCAGACTTGCACTTGCACTCTCAGACACTTGCGCTTCCGCAAGTGACATCACTAGCAGTCTTTTTTATTTTGTTCTATTTATTGATTACTTTTTGTTTGAATCTCTCAACATTTTACAACAGTAGCCAGGTGGTGAAGACAAGAAAAAAGAAACTAAATTACAAAGTCACTTGCAATCGCCACTTGCACTCTCCGCTACCTGCGACGTCACTTGCAATCGACACAAATCGTGCGTGTTGCCAATGGAGACAAGACGCTGTGGTGGTGATTAAACGATTAAAACTAATTTTGTATACTATAACGTACAGGGTCCTGCAAGAAAAAGATAAGACCCGCAAATCCGTGGCCACAGAACAGCAGAATATGAACGCAATGCACAAAGTCTCTCATTAAGCGTTTTCCTCCAGTAGAAAAAAATAAACACTTAATATGGCTTAATGTATTAAGATACATTAAGTACAATTAAAAGATCAAATTCGATATATAGTTATTATTGAATGTACTACAAGGCAAGCAGATGGCCATGAACACAATGCGCAAACTTTCACTTGTCCTCCCATACAGCAAAAAATACTATATACATATTCATTATATTAATAAACTGTATATTTAATTTGATATTTTAATAGCATCTTAATACATTACGCCATGTTAAGTGTTTATGTTTTTCTACAGGAGGAACACGCTTAACGAGAGACTTTGCGCATTGCGTTAATATTC